AAAAAATCCTTACATATAGTTTTTTATAAGTGTGCTCAACTATGTTTGTGTTTATACTGATGTGTAACACCCCAATAGTAAATATCCTCCACAATAATAATTTCAGTAATAAACAGTCTGGTTGATAAATAGATTGGATCCTTTCTGTATTTGTAAAGAATTTATTTTTCAGTACATTTAATTAATAACAAAAACAGGTTATTCAGAATCTTAGAAAATGAATGAAACGTGTGTCTTTACTGAACAACAAGAAAACAACATGTTCAATTTTCCTAAAAGAGATGGGAGAGAACCAACACCAAGTCAAAAAAAAATTTATAGAAGTGCCAATATTTTTTTTCAAAAGAAAATACTGATGAATGGAATATTTTAACATTCCATCATTTTATGTCTAGAAGAGCAGGAAGTAGTAGCACTGGAGCAAATGAAAGTTTTTTAAGATTTGTTTATAATGCATACTCCATGACCAATTTAAAGACTAATGCCGTAATCCAAAAAAGGAAAAATTATGGTTGCAAAAGTGGTCACAAAGGTAATTGCAACCACTTTTTATATGCTGTAAATATAATTACTACCATAATCATAACTTACGGCACTAGTCTTTAGACCAATTAGGAGCAAATGTTATTGATACTGGAATGTATATACAAAAGATAAAAGATTCACAGGTAAATGTATATGTTTAATAATAATAATATTATTATTATTATGGTGATAATGAAGAATTGAATTGAGATGGAAAATGCCATGATGGTTAAAAATTTTATTCTGTTTGGTGATGGGTGGTTCAATAGAAAATTGCTTTCTATGACAGAAATGATTCTTGTAAGAGTGGTTTGATAGCTTCCTGTAGCAAGATGATTTTTGTAATCACTTTGTCTGCTTTGCGGTGGTTGGTTTGAAAAATTGCATTTTGATGACTTTCTGCAGCAGAAATGATTCTCACAAATGCTTGGGTGGTTGGTAATTGCACTTTGATGACTTTCTGTGGTGGAGATGGCATATTCTATTTGTTTGGAGGCATGATAATACAATTTAGAATTGCCCCTTTGAAATTTGTTTGGAAATTACCAGTGGTTTAGATAGGAAACTCTAATACAAATCCTGAATCACATAAAAACTTAAATTACTATATACAAAAATAATTGTGATTGATTATTAACCAATTTATCTCTATATTTATAAAAAATGACAGGAAACCAAGGTACCTAAAACAACTGTTGAATTGGTTCCATTCCTTAAAGAAAAAATATCAATAATTACAACAAATGAAATGAAATTCAATAGATGGCCATGGTTGGTTGATGGATTTAATATTCAAATGAAGATTAAACAATTGATTATTAATTGGGAATCAGATTCTACAATCAAAAATGACCCAATCCTGTCTTCTATAATTTATACATCTTCACCACCACATTGGCTAAAATCCGGGTTTTCTGAAAAAGAATGGCAAGAAATGAGTTCAACTTTTTCTTGCACAATCAAAAGATCAACAAGTATTACTATACCAGGCAAGCACATGCAAGAAATTTAAAGATCATTTGTAATTGTTTATTTATTTTTATATTCTTATTGTTTTACAAATTTATTACCAGTTTGTTTTAACTATTTATTTATCTTTTAGTGAATATATTCAACATAATAGTAACTATAAAAAAGAAAGAATGAAGGAAGTTGGCAAGCAAATGCAATCACATTTCCATTTACAATAATGGAATGTAGCTTTGTTGGAATGAAATTTATTACTAATGAAAGAGAATCACATGGTTCCAAATGATGATGTAATTTGCCCTCATCTGAAAATGAAGAAGATGAGATGGATTCTGAAAATTTTAAAAAATTTCAAAGAGTGGAAAAAAGCCTGATTTTATAGTGGAAGGAGTATCTGGATACCAAAGCACTGATAAAAATATCAAAAAAAAATTACATTTCAAATATTTAGTTGGTGAAGTTGCTAGAAACCCACTAAAACAGTCTAAAAAAAAACTGATTCAGATAAATATAAACTATTTAAGCTAATGAAGGACAATCACAATAGCATTGTGTCATATCTTTATAACAAATATGGCCAAAATATGGATTACTCAGATGTAAATGATTTGGAAATTTATGGAATTCTTGTTTCAGGATTTCAACTATATATTTATTATTATGTACTAGATCAGCCAGGGACTTCTATTAACAGAATTCGTCTTATAGAAATTTTAATGCTACCAGTAAGAAAGAAGATTCTAATTATTATAGCTGGTTAGATTAAAGACTAAGGTTTCTGGTCGAAAACTGCTTCTATTAGTAGCCCCAAATTGCCCAAATACTTTGGGCAAAAATTATTTTTTTATAAGCCCAAACTACTTTTTGTTATTAGCCAAAATTGGGCGAAATTATTTTAAAGTTGTTTAAGTTAAAACAAGTTGATTCATATAGTTTTTTAATGTTCATGCTTATAGAAAATGTTGAGAAGCCCAAATTGCCCAAACTAGTTTGGGCTTTGAGAAAACAGTTTGGACCAGAAACCTTATTATATACACAAAAATAAAAGGCTGTGTACCTCTTGCTATTAATAAATAACACATTGTCTTCTTTCAGTACAAGCCATATCATGTTTCCTCATCTTGTAAAAAATAAATTGTTTTCCTAAAATAAAGAAAAAACAATAGGGGTTGGTTCCTTGTACAACCCATATGCGCAGCAATTAATTAATTACAGTGAACCCTCCTCCATAAGTGTACCCCCTTGGGAATGGATGAGAGTGTGCATTTATGGAGGGATGCATTTATAATAATAAAAATTATTGTTATAACGGTAAATTATTATCATTTGACTTTAAAAGCTTATAACTCCTTATTAGAAAAGAAAAAAGTAAACTGATAGAATTAAAGCTAAAGACCTAAGCTTCATTTCCGTTGGTTTATTAGAAAGTTTTGAGTTATAAGATTTCAAAATTAGGCCATTTTATATATGTCTACAAAATTTCGGAATGATCTTCCCTTGTGATTTCCTAAAAGATTGATTATAGTAATAGGCTTAATTTTTTTGTGATAAGAAATCTTTCCAATAAAAGAAATCTGATTACTTGAATTAAAAAGATCTTCTAAAATTTTAAATTTCAGACATTTATGGATGACTTGAACCATATTATTACATATTAATATTATTGCTGACTAAAAAATTGATTCATTGTGATTTACTATAATAATTCCACCTATAAAAGATCCACCATCTGTGTTCTTTTCTAATAACTCTTTTTTCATCAATTAAAAAAGAAAGTACTTAATCTTTTGTAAAAAAACAAATAATTTAATTACTTCTTTATTTTATTTTCCATTACTGTTACTACACATAAATATTAAAAATTTCTTGATCTTTATCCTTTGTTTAATCCCAATAGTAAAACATGGCAGTGATGGAGTTATGGTATGGGGTTGTTTTGTAAATGGCAAACTTGGACCATTAGTATTACTGGTTCAAAATACTTGGAGAGAATTTAATTCCTTTTTTAGATAGTTTAGATGGTCAATTGACATATTCCTTCCAGGATGATAATGCTCCCGCACATACAGCAAATGATACAATTAAATGGAAAGATGAACATTTAATTTCATATATTCAATGGCCTGCACAAAGTCCCGACCTTAATCCCATTGAACATTTGTGGAATGTTTTAGAAAGAAAAGTTCGAGAAAGGATGCTACATCCTAAAAATAAAAAAGATTTGATTGTTGCATTGAAAGAGGAATGGGTAAAAAATTGTAATAAAGAATTTAGTTGATAGTGTTCCGAGGAGAGTGAAAGCCGTCATAGATAGTCATGGCAATCCAACAAGATACTGACTGACCGGCTTTTGCTAAACGTTTTATTTATTTTTTATTAATTTTATTATATAAAATATTTAATAAAGTCAACAGAATACAGATTCTTGAGCTTTTACGTTTCATTGTCTATACTAGACCAATTTTTCTCAAATTTTAACCATATATAATTCAAGATATTTTAAGTGGACTTACTTAATGACATAATCTACGTTTTAACGGAGTTTTGAACTGTTTTAGTTTTCATAAAAATCACGGAATTTTTTGTCTAATTTAAAATTCCCATTATTAATAATGCAAACAAAACTTTGTTCAAATTAACTTAATGCACCAGTCCCGGTTTGGTTAATAAAATTTTGAACTGCGCGAGGCACAAGTTTCCAATTATTAAAATGATCGGATATTTATGGTAGGGGGAGTGTACGTTAACTATATATATAGTACATAACTTGTACCACCCAGAGGATAAATGATAATATATTAATTACATAATAATAATAAGCATCATGTATAAAAATAAATTATTTATAAAAGTTAACAATTATATTTTTACATTTTACTATTTTTAATTTTATTTGTGATAAAGTTCATAATCATTTTTAATTTTTGATTGAGGATTCCATGACATTATGAATCTCATTTTTATCTTTAGTGATATTGTCATCACCAATATTGAGATGATCAAATATTTGAACCATTTCCTCATCATCCAAATCTTCCTGTTCTACCATTCTAGGGTGTAAAATATCTTTGTACAGCAAACAAATCCAAAGTCTTTATGTATATTGAAAGGTTCTTTGAATTTAAACAGTTCATTTTACCAACAACACACAGTGCACCATTTTAACATTTTATTAGTTGTTTGATTATGTGGAGGTTAAATGTAACCCCCAGAGTTGTCAGTAAAATGAACTGTCGGTAAAATGATTCTCAATAAAATGAATGCCTCTCCTCTTGTTCACAGTTTTGTTTATAATTTATAATTATTTTTTCTGTACAGAAATCTAATTCTATATTATGGAGGCTGATCACATGCTCCCTTGTGATTCAATTAATAAATTAATTAAATTTCCCAAAATCTTCTAATCTTTTGTTTTGAGCCAATTTAGGCTTTAGAGTATTAAAAGGTCTTTTTCTATTGTTTTTCTTTAAAGAAGTAGTCTCCTCATTGAATAAGGATCCAAGAAGTATAAATACAAACAAATTAGGTAAAGTTTTAATTGATATTATATTTTCATATTTCATCCATTCTTAACACTATTAACTAGAATGACAAATGCATTGCAATGATTGCAATCACCAACACTATTCTTTTAATAAATGCTTACCCAGCAATTACCTCTCCCTTGTTATCTTTTTGTTTTCTTTTGTCATTTTCTGGACAGTGAAAAACTCCATTATGTTTTTTATAAAGACAAGTTGCTAGCTACTTATGTTGACTTAGAGTTCATGATTTTTTTTAATAAGAACAGACATTATTTTTTTTTTTTGAAAAAAAAAAGAGTG